TGCTGGGGGCAAGTGCTCTGTTCATATAAGCATTGAGATAAATTCAAAATATCTTCTACCTCACTGGGGGAAAAAGAACAGAATGCTAAATCACTTGGTTTGGGTGTCAGAGAGAAGGACATATGATAGTTACATATCCTTGAGGATGAAGTAGTAAAAAGGCATCTCCCACATTGGCATTTGATCATTAATGATGTAACTTCCCCTTCCCCAGGATTATGACCCCTCAGAGAAGAATCCAGAGAAGAGGAACAATAGTAGCCATATATACTTTACTCTCTTTTCTTCCACCACTATGGAAAACCACCCATCTAAGGTGGTAAAGAAAAAATAAAAACAGAAACAAAACAAAAGAATCCATAAATCTTAGGATTCTATTACTTTAGTGATCACTGCTCCTCGTGTTCTTCTTTGTTTTTCCCTCCAATCACTAGAAAACACTCCACCAGCTTATGATTTCCATCCCTGCTGATTGAAGTTGAGTGACCTTGTCTCTCTTAGGGTCCGTGGTGTTCATTCATAGACTAGAGACTCCTCCAAAGCAAAGGCTACATCTCTCTCACACTTGCTGCTCGGCCTTGGACTCTACCTCAAACATAGTGTGCTCAATAAATGTTTGTAAAATGAACTACTGAAAGCTCTAAGCACCTTTCAGATGGTTGTCAATTGACTAACATCTCCATGATTTAAATAGCAACTCTAAAAGTTGTATGTATTTTTGAGTTTACCGATAACAGGAAACTTTTATTCCCTTGGATGTGAGATAGATATCTTAGAAGACAATGTTTTCTAGGAGCTGTTTAAAAATTACCTAAAATCAAGCAGCCTTTTCAAATCTATTCTGATTGACACTCAAAATAAATTTGAAAGGAATGTAAGACTTCTAGTATCACTCACATACTGGAAAAAAACAACTGGAATACATATTGATCAGTCAAGGGAAATATTAATCCTGTGGGCACTGCACTTGAGAAGGTATCCATTTCTGTAATTTTTGTTAAGAGCAAAATTTTAAACCATTTATAATTAAAAATAATTTTAAGTGATTTAATAATTTTTAATTTTAATAAGACTTTAAAATTTTCTATCACTCTGATTGAACAGAGAAGATAAACTCTTTTTAACTCATAATTAAAAAAAATATTTTATAATTAGATTAATCTTTGTAAAGGCATATACTCATTAGAAAAAAAATTTCTACAGTAGCTCCTTCTCAACTGTGATGGTGATGTTTCTGAACAGCCCTGGGATTTCTAACAGAGAAACATGAGATCTTAGTGGAAAAATAAAGCGACCAAGGCTTGGGTAAACCTTGTGTACACTGTACTCAGTAAAATAAAACAGTAAGTAGAGCATCTTCAATAGGATGTTGTTAGTGAATTCTAGATGTATTATGAAGTTGGTTTCCAACCATCCTATAAGAACTAATGAACAATTGGGGTCTAAAAGGTTGTTTATAAATGCATTTGACCATAAATGAGAAAAGTCAAACCTTGCAGGTTCTGAGCACATACCCATCTAAAAAGTGTCACTTGGTCCTTTAAAACTATAAGCCAGGTGTACCTCTTTCTTTCTTGATAGTAAATGTTCACTTGGGAATGCCCAAAATCTCTTGTGGAAGTTAATTCCATAATGGTCTTTCTAGGTGTTCCAGGCACTCATTTGATTTTGGAATATTGGGCAGATCTAAGCAGCTTGAATCTGTAGCACCATCCAAGGGTTGTAACAAAACTTTTGTTATCACTACTTTGACCACATGTGACTTTTAAATTCTCAAATGCTTTGCTTTTTCATGAATTAACATTATGTGGAGAGGCATTTCAGTATTTAAAAAAAATGTTTTTATTGATTTTTAGAAAGAGAGGAAGGGAGAGGGATACAGAGATAGAAACATCGATGAGAAACATTGACTGGCTGCGTCCTACACGCCCCCTACTGGGGATTAAGCCTACACCTGGGGCATGTGCCCTGATTGGGACTCTAACCTGTGACCTCTTGGTTCCTAGGCTGACACTCAACCACTGAGCCACACCGGCCAGACAAGGCATTTCAGGACTGATGACTGATTGTCTTGGGATGCAACTCTTGTTCCATTTTGTCAATTACTTTTCTTTGCCTATAATGCAGGAGCAGCATTTTTAATTCATAACCCTTACTGGGGTCCTACATTCCTGCGTACATATCACCACTTTCAAGTTTGTCTAATGATTTCTACTTTTGTTTCCTTCATGATCTTCATCTCCTCTTGTTATCACCTTCACCGCTCTGGGAACGATGGGCTGTAATCTAAAATAACACATGTAAAAACTAAGCTTAACATGGCAGCCAGGCTGCAGAATGTCCGGACCAGCCAATGGGAAGAGTTATTTGCCTTTTGTGCCATTCGGCAGCCACCCCTTAGTGCCGGGTGGAATTGTTCAGCTCTAACTCCGGAGCATAGCTTTGTTTACATTTGTGCTTGCTTGAGAGTTGAAAGTTCTCAAGTAATTCTTAAGCTTCTGTAATTTTACTGCAAGTTTCCAGTTAATGTTTCTTACTAGCTAGCAATTTCAATGAGAAGCTTATGAATTGTTTTTGCTTTGTTGCAGATAATATGCACTTGAAATTGTTCTCTCACCCTCTTGCTCTTACTCCCATATGTGATTCCTATCTGAATTGGTGACTGTGGGAAACTGACTCTTTTCTCTAGGGTCTCCCTCCCTCTCATCCCCTCTTTATAATTTTATCTCCACCCTTCTTTGCAGACAAGGAAGTGTATTTTTAAAGCTTAAAATTATTCTCCCTGATGTTTCTTTATATTTCCTAGAACACTGTGACAGTAACTTACCAATAGCTTTAGCAGCTTTTTCTAGTCTCATTCTTGATTCTTACAAGTTGCTTAAAAGTACATTTCCATTTACATAGATTTTGAGCAAGGGGAATGAACTCATGATTAAGGAGAAATTAGTATTTTTGGATTTAACATATTGAATCAACTTTTCTAACCTCTATGAATTCCTAATGTCAGAAAATTAAAATGACTTTATTTCTGATAATTACTGAATTTTACTTTTGATGAGAAATGGAAGTTACACATATAGTCTAAATGTGTAGGAAAGGAATAAGAAACACACATGATATTGTTTGCTTATATTGTTTACAGTACATTTCTAAGGGATAGGTATTTATTGCCTTCAGTGTTTTCATGCTTTAGATTGTCATAGTAATGTCAGGATATTGGCTAAAAAGCCCCAGAGAATTCCGAGCATGGGCTGTTCAGAGGCAGTCTTTCTTCCACAGCAATATTCATGCATTTGACCTTGTTCTAACAAAGAGATTTATCACTGACCCTTCCCAGCCATTCATTAGTATGTTTGAACTTGGCTGTGCTAGTTCGTATAAACTGAGGTATTTTGGATCACTTGAGGCTTATAAACCAAGTAAACAATTCTAAGGGTGTGATGATAACTGAAGGACTAAGGTATGGCAGAATGCTGCTTCACTAACATAGAACAGGCCGACCAGAAAGCATGCTAATCCCATGCTCGGGCCTTTCCTCCCGACCGCTCAGGACTGCACTGCCGTGTCTGCCTTGGGCACTGAGCATGCATATGCATGAGGGAAACATGGGAATATAGTTTAGTCCTTTATTTTTTGTGCACCCGGTGGGGGTTTATGACTTATATTGGGAGTCTCCTGGCATTCCTCACCCAAACTTGTGAAGACAGTAATGTTTGTTTATAAATAGTTCTATATATAACAGTTCTTGTTTTCCATTTTTAGTCCCAGGAGGGGATAGTGGAAAAATGTGTGGGAAAGAAACAAGAGGTTCTTGATGCGAAGCCTGATTCTGTAACTGTTTGCTTATTAGGCTCTCATAACTTTAATTTCCATATCAGTAAAATAGAAATAATATCACTTCTCATTGTTGCTCAGAGGATTAAATGTGGTAGAATAAGTGAAAGTTCTTAAAAACCTAAAAACCTATTAGAAATTAAACATATTGTTTCTTTACTTTCTAAGGCAGTGATTTTCAACTGGTGTGCTCCAAGAATTTTTAAAACATAAAATACCTGACTCTTTAGTCAGGGACACTGACCTCTTTTTCCTTAGATTGTCAAATAAAAAAAAAATCACAACCGCCAACACAACAGTAGCTGTATGGTGTGTGAATGAATCAAAATTATACCTATTTTTTTGGTCAGATAGGCAAAAATAAATATTTTGGGGTATGCCACAGAATTTTAGTAGTTCGTTTATGTGAGCCATGACATGAAAAAGGTTGAAAATTACTGTTCTAGGGTCTTGTTACAACCCCTTCTTTCTGTTGTCCATCTTTACCCCACCCCCAATTTATGTCCACGCTATTTAAAACAAAACTTGATGATTTCAAAGGGCAGGCCAGCCCGGAAGCAGAAGTACCAAAAGGCAGAATCGTAGTCACCTCCCTTCTGCTGTGCTCATCCCCACTCCTACCGCTCTTTAGTTTAGGTTTCATGCCTTAGTGAGAGATTGGTTTGTTTCACAAGCTCAGAGCAAGGAGAGCTGCATGGGCGTTCACCAGCACGGGTTCAAACCCCTGCTCTGCATACTCTCTCTAGCTGCATGGCCTTTGAGAAATTACTCAGCTTCTCTGAGCCTCAGTTTCCTCATACAAAAGGTAAGAATCGTAGCACCTTCCTCAGAGTTGTTTTTCTGGGTTTATAAAAGAGATCCTGCAAAGGACCAAAGTAAGTGTGCAGGAATTTGCATATATGGTTATTAATTGTATATGTTATATGGAAATTCTTACTTCGTTCTCGCAGGTTTCTGGACAGAGGCGATATTACCAAATACTTTATGATAATTAAGTCAACTTTCGTATGAGAAGTTTCAGGGTTTTTCTCAACAAATTGTAACCTTTAATGATCATTGAACATCAAGGTTCAAGGAGAACCTTGTTTGTAATGAGGCACATGATAAACATCTTTCTTTTCTAGACACACACTCTCTCACACTCCCTTTGCCTGTTTGGTCTTTAGCACAGATGGATATTGCTTCACTATGATAGAAGAAGATGATTCTGGGATGCCTGTGGTCACTTCTGGATGTCTGGGACTAGAAGGCTCAGATTTTCAGTGTCGGGTAAGGAAGAAACTTGATTCTACTTTGTAACCTTTCCTTGGCTAGATTTCAAACAATCACGTTTCAAGTAAGATAAGCAAATTTTTTTTTGACTAGCCTATTTTTAGTAATTTGGAAAATAAATTGAGCATTCTCATTGGGCCAATTCTCCCTTCATTTTGGTTAAATATCATTTTTATTTTTGCTGTTAGCTTCTGGCTTAGTGTCCCATTAGATCTTGCTCAAATTCCAGTTTAGTTAACTGCATTAAACTCAGCTTTCTTCATCAGTTTTCAGGGTGCACACTGGTTATTACAAATGTAGTAGTAATTTTGTTAAATGCAGACATTGCAGTAAGATAATACATGACCATTTAAAAGAAATTACTTAATAGAAAACAATATTTTCAACATGTTTATGTCAGAATTTTAAGTGAGTTACCTAAATAGTGTTAATTTCTTGAGTTGATATTTTTAAGTATGTTTTTATTGATTTCAGAGAGAGGAAGGGAGAGGGAAAGAGAGACTGAAACATCCATTGCTGCCTCCTGCGGGTCCTCTACTGGGGATCAAGCATAAAACCTGCGCATGTGCCTTGACCAGGAATTGAACCAGGGGCCTCCTGGTGCATGGGAGGATGCTCAACCACTGAGCCATGCCGCCCAGAAGTTTTAGATAATGTGCCTATGAAATGTGGCAACAGCCACTAATAGCTTTTTGGGTTCAATTTTAGGACACTCCCATTCCTCATCAAAGAAGATCAATTGAATGCTGCACAGAAAGGAACGAATGTAATAAAGATCTACACCCTACATTGCCTCCGCTGAAAAACAGAGGTGAGGAGGGCAAGGCTTCCAGGCTGAAAAAGCTTTAGGCATAAAGAAAATGAAGACATGGATTATCCTTTGTTTTCTAAATGAATTCTACCTGTACCATTTTCCACTGCTGGGGCAGAGGACATGGCAAGATGAAATAATGAAACTGTCATTCAAAAACATGTGCAAGTTGGTCTTGGGAAAGCGGTCTTCCATGGCTTCATTCCAGTGAATCTTATTTCTTAATCTCTTCCCACTTTCCCCCAGAAAACAACAGTTTCTAGAACTTGTAGCATGTTTCAGGGGGCAGAGGAGGGAAAACAGGGAGACAGTGCTTTATGCTTACCCCTAAATAATATTCAGAGTCTGCACTTCTTTCAAAAACTACTATTTGTCTACATTTATTTTAAAAATAAGGACTTTAGAAAGGACTAAGTCAGATTACTTGCTGGATGGCATTTCCTTTTATCTATGCTAGAGTAACTGCCTTTTTCTTCAAATCATATATCATATATTGATAAAAATGGAGAAAATATGTACAAAATTTAATTTCAAGATCGATACATTTAAGTTTTGCTCATTAGAGAGAGAAATTAGCACCCCCAGAGACTTCTTGTTAAAAATAGCTCCCACATTTCCTTTCCCCTCCTTTTTCTCACCACAAAATAAATGATTTATAATTGTCACAGAATTCCAATTCCTAAGTCTTAGATAAGTGGTTTAAAATGATTCTTCATGACTGATTTTATTTCTTGAGAAGAGAAACTTTTTCCAACAAAATATAATGACATTTCGTGGTTTTCATGATAACATTTTATAACTCTTGTTCCTACTACAGCCTAGGAAGCTCTATAAGATTGATTCATAATAATTCACATAAAAATTCAGGCAGTTTTTAAAATTTTGCCAGTCAACATGCTATGTGTTAAGGATACAGAAACGGATGAAGAAAATTCTTGCTCTCCAGATGTGCACAGTAGGTTATGAGAGAGAAACATGTAAATAATTACCATTTGGTGAGGAATAATTCAGGAGGAGAGTTAGATTATAAAGAGTAGTAAGGACACGAAAGAGCGAGTGGCTCACTCTCTCTGGGGTGGGAGGATGTTAAAGTAGCTTCAGAGAAGTGATACTTGAACAAGACTTTAAGAAGAAACAGGAGTTTGCCATTTGGGTAAGGCAGGAATAAAAGTAAAAAAATTGAAGCGTAGCCAAGCATTATGCTGACATAGCCAAGCATTATGCTAAGTTTACATTAATTAACCCATTTGAGCCTCACAGCAATCCTATGAGGTACTTAGGATGATAATTCTCCATTTAAAGATGAGGAAATTGCAGCACAGTGAGGTTAATTTACTTTTCCAAGGTTGCACAGCCTGTGAGTAGCAGTGCCTCTAAATAGAGGCGGTGGTAAGTGCAGAGGTTTGGTGTGTAAAATTGGAGAAACATTTGCAAAATACAAACATATGCAACAGCATGGCTGGTGGGAGAAAATCTCCTAATTAAGTTGTCTGAAGCCCTCACTATTCAGAGTGGGCTCGAGTTGTCTGAAGCCCTCACTATTCAGAGTGGGCTCGTGGACCAGCAGCAGCATTATTACGTGGAACTCACTGGAAATGCAGAATCTCAGGCCCTCATCCCAGACTACGAAACCCAAATTTTTAAATAAGATTCCTCGAGTTATTTATATGCACATTAAAGCTTGTGCAACACTTTTGGAAGAAAAAGACAGGCCCCATATTGTTTACAGAGAAGTTCACTGATATCAAATTGTAGTAAAGTTCTAAATGTTCACTTTCAATTTTTGTAGTTACTTCTTTCGGAACCAGTTTCAAAAAGTAGGTGGTCCATGGACAACACTTTGAATGGCACTGGTACAGGGGCTTATGTGTAGGAAGGGGCGGGAGGGAGGAGAGTGAGGAGTGGCTGGAAAGGAAGGTAGAAATGCTAGATTTTAGAATCTCTTTGTCAAGAAGAGGTTTTTCACGTGCGAGGGGAAGCCATGTATCCTGGAAGTAACAACAGGGTTTAGGAAAATTCATATTCTGCCTCTCGGATGCTGAAAGTGCGCGTTGTCCGGTAGAAGGGGCCAGGCTCAGCTCGGGCGGCAGGTGAGGGGATATTCTCAGGGGGGGTGAGGAAACAGGGGCTCTGAAGACGTGGCATTCGTCTCTAGAGCTGAGTGGAAAGTTTTGAAAAGGAGGGCAGCCGCATTGAGGAGACGTCCTTGGTTCAGGGCATTGGGAAGAGGGTGCGGTAGATGATCCTGGGGATTATACAAAGTGAGAGGCTTGGGTGGAGTTTGGTGGCATTAGGGTTACTGCTTGAAACTCTGGGGATCTCGGGGGGCCGAGGTGAGGTCCCCACGGATTCCGCCTCACCCTCTGGCGCACTCATGGGGGTGTGCGGTAAGTCACTGCAGATGGTGGCCTGAGAGCTCTGGCATTCCTTACATAGTTATTCTATACACTAGCGTTTTTTGTTGGCTTTGCCTCCATCCTATGCAGCATTTTCGTTGGCACTGCACTGTACGTCTTTACTGGGTGTCAGTAGGGCCTTGGTCAGAAACACTCGGGTTGCAGCCGTGTTGGATTATGTCTATGTATGATACGTTAACCTGAAAATAAAAAGTCCAATGAAAGCCAACAAGTGTTTATTTGAGGTCCAAAAGAAGAGCTGTTCAGGAAGCATCAATTCAGGCAGAAACCCAAACAGGAGATAAAGGCAAGGGGTGCTCATGAGATCGGGGAGGGATTTCTGTAGGCGCAGATAGACTAACATAGTGATGCCGATTCTAAAGAATGTCTTTGATTTTCATATATGCTTTCTTGTTCTGTTTGCAAACAGTTATCAGGAATACAGTCCTGCTTTAGACCCCATCCAAAGGTTATTTTGCCCAGTTTTACAATTCCAAAGATTTGAGGGGTAAGATTTGCACGCCAGTTCCTCTGGGATGGCAGCTCCAAGTCCATTTTGAAGCGGCTACGTTTATATTATTTTTCACAATTCATATTGAAGAAGTGTGTGTATGTGGCTGGTATAAAACCCGACATAAAGAACAGGGATGATGTTAAAAGAGTTATAGATCAATCTTCCTTGGATATTTTTAATTGCAACTGTTGTTTATACTCAGAACTATCCCTAACTTGTGGGCTGGGGCAGTAGTTTAAATGTAGGTCCACATATCATTTCCCTACATATTTAAAACTCATAAGCCAATAGGGAAGACTGGTAAATAAAATACATTGTATTAACAAATGCAGTTTCATAATGAGGGAGAGCGCGATCTTGCATTTAGAATGCTGGGCCTCCCGAGACAGCCTCCCCAGCGTCGGAGTGAGTGGTGGGCGGCTCCATTCCCGTTTCCCTGCCTGTGAGGTGCCTCTCGTGCGTGTATGTGGACACCTGTTTTGTGTCGGTGTTGGCCTGTGACGCGTGATGCTAGCAGCGAGGAGTGCCTGCAGCACTCACCTGGGCCTGAGCTGCTTGGGGCAGCCCTCCCAGACATCTCCCCGACGAGGGCCAGCGTGGTGGCTGGACCAGGCCTGATGGTTCTTCTTAGGCCTGTAAGACTCACCTCAGCAACGGCCGGAGGGGAAATGTGAAGAAAGGCTGTTCACAGGTTCTGGAGGGTATGGGGCATGCCTGAGGGCAACCCAAGGTCATGGGTAGAGAAAGAGGGAGAGAGCAGGAGCAGGCTTGAACCTGGGGCTCTGCCTTTATTGGGGTTCAGGGTGGGGAGGCCTTGGGTTTCACAGATTCACTCTTTATTGGTGAATTTAAAACGTAAGAGTGAGAATTAGCTTCAGTGCAGTTGAGAAAAAGCAGAGTTGCTCAAGTGCTCAGTTGTCTGGCTCACCCAGGGCTTTCTCAAAGGGAGCTTCATGGGTAGTGCAGCCTGGTTTCTAATGCAGTTGTTTCACCAGTAGTTGTGCCGTACAGCTGGCAATGTGGTCGTTCGAGATGGATGTCTGCATGGACGCCTTGGCCATCAAAAAGCTGCACGTCAGGCACTTGCACCAGGACACCCCAGCCCTCTGGCTTAACCTCCACTCATGCGTCTTGCTCCAGCCACCCTTGCCCACTCCTCGGGACTTGGGGTACACACACCAGCCCCTTGGTCCACCCTGGGGGGACAGGGGCCTATGTCGCAGTTCCTAGACACAGACACAGATGCAGACACGAGGCCGTTTAGACAGGAAATTCCAGACTTCTGGGCATTGGCCAGGGGTTTAACTGGAGCGTGAGGTGGGACAAGTTCTGGGTAGACACATCCTCTGGGTCGTGCAGATCCACTGCTACACGGGAAGGGTTTGGTTGGAGAGGGCCGGAGCAGGACCCTCTAAAGCTCAGAGCTCATGCCAATGTTTTGGCCTAGGGGCAGTGGAAATTATAATAATAATCGTGACATTTGCTTATGTGAGTGTCATACATACTTCCTAGGGCTTTTTTCTAAGCACTTTACACATACTAACTCATTTAATCCTCTTAACAACCCAAAGAAGACACTATTATTATTATTCCGATTTCACAGATGGGAAAGCTGAGGAATCCTGAGATTAAATGCTGTGCAAAGTTTACATAGCTAGAATAGGTGGGGGAGCTAGGAAAGGGCCAGTGTGTAGCCTCACGGAATCTGCTCTAGAAAGCTCTGGATGACATTCTCAGGAAAATGCTCTCCCCTAGGTGAGTCAGGAAACTCTGTAAGTAAATACTGGCTAGCCATTTCACATAACAATTGATAAACAGTCAATATGATTACTCTCAAAGTAATCTGTTATATTCACCTTACACAGAATATTCTCAGACAAGCATGCATTGCTCTTTTTAGAAGATGGTGTCAGCGGGCTGCTCGCTTTGCTCCTCGCAGGCGTGTGTGTGTGTGTGTGTGTGTGTGTGCTCTCCAACGCCCATGTCGCAGCTGCCTCGCTGCTCCACACAGGACTTCTCAGCGCCCTCACTTCCCCCTCTGCGCTTGGCCTGCGAATAATCTCTGGGGCCCAGCCCTGGCCGGTGTGGCT